TTTTGACTTGGAAACGGACAAAAACGCGAGATGCAAATCTCCAACAGCAAAAGGCAATCTTGACTAGTACAACAGCGCATGTCCGAATAATTTGAAACATTTCAGAATTGGAGTAAACGAAGAATTGCTCGTTTTACTAATACAGGAAAATTAAGACCGAGAAGAATAAAAAAATAAAACGAAGCTAGATACATACGTATATATATGTAACGAAGCGGTATAAAACAAAAAGCGGGGAAAACAAACAGAAGTTTAATTTCTTACACTTCAATTTATTGTTTTCAGGTTCAGGTGGTAAGCATGCGATCAGTAATAAAACGTCTAGAATACACTCAGTACGGGTTTCTGTTTTGGTTATTTTTGCGAAAAAGGTTTGTGAATGGCGCAGTGCCAATGCGTTGCAAAGTCCAGGTTTGGAACGATGAACTGCTTTTAACCAAGAACTTTCACAGTTGATAAATGTGTACGAAGCAAACTACTAATAAAAGTTTTTAAAAAGTTACCCGCAATTTTTTGAGAAACATCTAATCATTTGAAATAATATGGTAAAAAAATCCTGAAAAATCGAACAGAAAGGGATACAGTTCACCATCAACAGCTGCCATATGCATCCAGCAACAAAATTCTGTTCGAGATCCTCGTAACACTCTCCTTCAGTTTTGAAATTGAAAAGTAGTTTATTGCTAGTTTCGACAAAAACCTGCCTTATTTTAGTTGTTCAGGCGATAAGAGCTCCAGAGGATTGAGTTGCTGTTTTTTATGTAATTCTTCTTAGGCAATGGTTCGTCTCCTCAAGTTCCGTATATTCACGTAAGGCCACAGTGCTGTGCTAGTACCCACCCTCATTTTGCAGTCTAAAATACTACGATAAATTCTTCATAAAATGGTTTACTCTGTCTTGAGCATGAGAATTTCAGTAATTTTTGGAATTCTCGTGACATGAACATCTCACTGTTTAAAATCAGCAAATAACTTTAAAGATAACTTTACCGGTTCAAAAAAAAATGGAGTTGTTTTGGTGAATCGGTATTTACAATGGGAACTACAATTTTACAGTTCTTAAACTTGGCGACTACGAACTGAGAAGTAAAGTTGCTTAGGTATGAAGAATATAAAGTGTAAGATGTCGCTAGAAATGCCGATTAAAGGAAAAGCTAAGTCCCGTTAGCGTCACAATTTTTTAAGACAACATATGCTGCGGTGGACTTTCGTTGTATTTGAAAAGTTCACAAATAAGCTTCGTTACTGATCGACGTGACTAGCCAGAATGATGTAATAACAACCGCTTATGTGTCTTTAGGTTTGACTGACTAAAGTTATCAACAAAATGCGATAAATGGAACAAGTAAGGGCAACAGTAGTGTAGCTTACAGTGAGTATTTATGGATTTTGTGATGTAGCTAAAAGAGTTACACTTATGTTCAAGTGCAGAATTTTAAATTGTTCCCTTACGAAAAGAGATTTTATGGGGAAAAGAATACATCAATATTAGAAAATGCTGAATATTATACTTTTATATATTGGTGAAAGTTAGACAATGGCGTTTACTAGAACGAAAATTTTCGTTAAAATTCATTGACCGAAGATGTTATTGAAACTTAAACTGAAATTGATAGTTGAAGTTTTAGATATAAAGCAGCATTTATAGTGTTCCAGTCGAATCAATAAAGTAGAGATACTTTTATTACATAAAACTCTTATTTTTTTATGCTTACATATAAACTTACTGCATGCTTCAAATCTAAGGTTAGAATTTGAGCCTAAATATTGGAAGTTCAGCATAAGCTTGAATTCAAGGATAAACCTGAGAGCACTTTAAGAAGCGGGACAATAATGTGTATAAGAACAAATCCGTGGCGTTCTACACTGAATGCAAATTTTCAAAATCGAGATAAGAGTTAGCTCTTTAATAAGTTTCTTATATCATCCAGCAGATGTATCTAACACTTATGAAATTCAAAAGTGTATTTTTTGCTGGGATTTTTTGATCTGTTCAGAATATCTGGAAATAAATATTCAAGAAAAGTTTTGCAAGAGTTTCAAGATCATTCTGTTTTATGAAACAGCATGAGCTCCGTCCCCTGACGCAACACTGTTCTTCTACTTGTCAATATTCTTTTGCCTTCCTGCAGTAAGACTGCAGTTATAAAAGAACATATGCAATGTTGATTGAAGTTGAAGTTTCAAGATTAATCGGAAATTTTTTGTTACTGAACAACTGACCAAGAACAAAAGTAGCAGTCATTAAGTTTTGTAGTCCTCTTTTATAGAAGATATTGATAACAACTGGGCATTACGTCTTTCACTGTAATTTGTACTCATATCTTCTGAATTTTGTAGTATCTGTCACCGAAATGGCAAAAAGTTAGAAGCAAACCAGAGCCGAAAAAAAAGTGGCTCTTAGCTTAGCAAATGAAATACTAAGAGCGAGGAAGGATGCAACTGGAAATTTCAAGGTGCACTTTTCTGAAATGTTAAATGATTTGAAAAACTGTAGTATTTTGCAGCTGGAGGCCACTTGCCTGGTTACTGTATGAAAACCTCACTGTTTTTAAAATTATCCTTCTTAACTTAATCATTGTATACTTCTTTCTCTATATTCGTTGTAAGCATACATCTTTTTTGTATTAATTAGCTTTATATCAAATAATTTCGCATATATATATTATAATGTGAACTAATAATTTAAGGTTTAATTGATTATGGTTAGGATTTGGAACTAATAAATGGCCGAGAACCTATACTAGTCCCTCAAAGCAGGTCAAAGTCGAACATTCCACATTAGTCTAATCAATAACAGAATTCCTGATACAACTGAAGGAAAGAGCCATAGAAGTATAATAAAGTACCCTAAAACACGTTTTCTTTATTGTATCTTATTCAATGAAGCCTCTCATTTGAGGAGTTCCGTTTGAAAATTGTTTTTTGCTGAAATGAGTTTGCAGTTGAGTTTAAAAGTTTTAGAATTAAAGGTCCCCCTAAAAAATGAATCGTAAAGAACATTCGTCAAATTGTGATGCTGTGAGCAGGCGTTCGTGTCAGATGCTCTTTTTTGACACTTATATCAAGAAGGCCTTTTTTGATGCTGAAAAATCTATTTAATTTAGAATCCTTCACAATGTCGAAAAAATTTGTTTTTTTCCTTCACTTGTTACATCCGTTTGAGTCTCTCAGTTTATTCGACAAATAGGTCTGCAAAAAACTTATCATTGGAGAAAAACTTCTCAGGAATGGTTTCAGAAATTCTTCGTTTTTGGTGGTCAGTAATCAAATCAAGTGTTACCAGTTTATTGAGGTGAAAAAACTTAACCTTGAAAAGGATAAATTTACTCAGTCATTTCGACTTTTTCGCATTTGGTTTTTACTGATCTAGATCTACTGCTGTTTTGCTACTTAATTATGCTGCCTCAATCATGCAATTTGCTAATCACCAGTTTAAATTCAATTTTGGTGGATGAAGAAGTAAAAAAGTAGTTTTATAAATAGAAAAAATAAAAAAAAAATTTCGAAGTGAAACTTATCGACTAAATGTAAGCATAAATTAGAGGTGTTTTTGCAAGTTCAAGCTCTTTTGCTTCCTTTTGGAAGGCAAAAGACGGTTGTTCACAGTTTGGTAAAAGCGAACAAATTTATACAAACCACGATTGAAGCTGGCAGAAGAATGTTTATCTTGGCAATTTTTCTCACCTTTTTAAAATTTTGAAAGAAAGGGCCATAAGTGGAAGGAGATTGAGTGCAGAAAAAAGAATAAGGACAGTACATGTCTACGTTTTAAAAATTTTGATTTCATCACTTTGGCCCATTGAAAGCCTTCAGATTCCCATCGATCAGGCAGCATCATTTGTCGATTTGAATATTCAAAACAAGCTTTAATTAATATTTATATATATATATATATAACACTATATTACTTTGCGAGCTTTTTAAAGGCAGCATTATCAGAAATTTCAAAAATTGTGCTTCACTTCAATTTTTAGCTTCAGAAATTTCAAATTTACTACATCGATCCATTAAAAGCTTTTTTAATTTTTTCTATTAAGCAGTATCATTCCTCGATGTGAATATTCAAAAAAATAACGAGGAGTAACAATTACATACAAATATAAATATGAACATATATATATTCACATTTAAATATGTATGTATACAACACGGTGTCATTTTCAAAGCTTTTATTCTAAAAAACACCTCAATTTGTAAACCGAAAGTGTTGTGATAAAACATTTCCGAAGTCGTGTCGGCTTTGTATGTGCTGTCTAAATTACATTCAAACATACCTGTTTAGGTGAACAACTATTATGTGTGAACAAATTTGCTGTAAATCCAGGAAGGCTGCTCAAGATTTTATGTCGTTTGTGCAACAAGCACCCACTCCATTTCATGGTACTTACGACTTTTAATCGACATTTTAAGTTGACAAACTCTACTTTTAAATAAATTTTTTCTTTGTTCTAAAACCTTATTTAAATCAGTAAACAAATTTTTAATTTTTACAGCTTACTATAAAATGTTTGATTCTGAAAAACAGTATGAATTTGACGATTTCACGTTTTTTGTCAAATTCTTCGACAAAATTGTATTTATTTTGTAGGTTTTAGTTTCACAAATGATTGGACTCTATAAAAAATAACTTTTGATTAGGTACAGAATACAAGCACTTTTTTTTGTCGTTATGACAACTGTAACTTTTCAAAAGGCACAATTTTTGTAACGATGCTTCTGTCAAAAATCAGTTATGCATTATTACCCCCCCTAAACAGTATCCCTTTAAGCAACACTAAAGTTTATTATTTTTTTTGCATAAACCTTCAAAGCGTGAAATCCTTGTAACAACTAATAGTAAAACATACTTTTAGCAGTAGAAGTGCTGTCGTCTTATTTATGTCAGGAGAAATTCATAAAGTTGAAAGAAAATGAGCACTGGAACATCGAGCTTAATGGGAAATACTTCGTCACCAGGTATTCTATTAAAGTTCCTGTCACATTTTTCAGCATTGCTTTTATTCTACTTTTTCTTCAGCTTTTTGTTACTTCTGGTAACTTTTTTGCAGGAATAACAGTACTATATTTGCTTTTGTTGTCGGAGGAAAGTACAAACCCGGAAATGGATTTACGATGACTGCAGCTCATACAGACAGTCCCTGCTTACGCGTCAAACCAATCTCAAAGATTTCAAGTCAAGGCTGCGCACAAGTTCACATGCTAAAGCCTTAACAAAATTTTGTTTTACTTTTATTTTGTATATAAATGTAGAAATTACTAAAAATAATTTTGTATAAACCCTTCTTGTTCTTATAGGTTGGGGTTTCTGTCTATGGCGGTGGAATATGGCGCACCTGGTTTGACAGAGACCTTAGTTTAGCTGGACAAGTTGTGTTTTTGAAAGTGAGCGTTTCTTTTTATGCCATTCCAGTTTTGACAGGATGATTTTCTATCAGATGCGTTTCGATTTAACATAAGCATTCAAATCATCTTCATAGCCTGCATTAGGTGGTCTGAGGCGTCATATTGACGCTACGACGTAACACGTAGACTTTCCAAACGCTCATGCACAAACACAAGAAGTGTCTCATACATTTTAATAGCTAGGTAGCTAGGTAGCTACCAAAAGTTAAAATTTAAATTAATTGAAAAGTCGAGTATAATAGTTTGAGAAAAGACGTGTCATTGGTAAAAATATCACAGCGAATTTATGAAGAAAATTAGGCTACTTAGAACCACTCATATAACTTGATTTTCAGAATTGTAGAGTAACGCGTAAATTGATAAACATTCGACAGCCTTTGATGTATATTCCAAGTTTAGCTTCTCATTTGAATCGTAACAAAGACAAATTTGAGTGGAATGATGAAACAGACTTGAGACCAATTCTGGCGACCTTAGCTGAGGAACGGTTGAATGAAGATTCAAAGAATGGTCATTCGAAAATAGTTTTGGTAACGGTTTTTTTGAAATTCATTTATCATTTGAATTATGCCTGAATTTATGAATTACGTCTAAGTGATATTGCAAAAAATTTGAGTATAATTTTATGCTTCTAGTGAACCATTTTTAGAACACTAACGATCAGAAAGATGAAGAAGAGAAGTGCCTGGACAGCTTGCCAGAAGAACATCATTTGTCGTTGCTGGAATTGATAAGCAAAGAAGCCGGTTGTGATTCTTCGGAAATCCTCGATTTTGATTTATACCTTTACGACACTCAAGGACCTGTAAGCACTATCCTCTTTTAGAACCGCAATATCTTTGCAGCAGGTCCGGTATTTCAAATTTAGTGGTGTGCAAGAAAAAAGTTGAATTTGACTGTAGCGGTCTTCCTTACGTTATACTTTCCAAATTTTACAGATAGCTGTTCAAAAAAGATTTGGGTTTTTAAACAAATGAGTATTCACTAATTTTATTAGTCAGCGAATTGTTCCACAGCTTTTGCGATTAAACTTTCTTTCTTTTTTTTCTGTTACAGGCGATATGCGGTATTCATCAAGAATTCATATGCTCGCAAAGACTAGATGATTTACTGGGTGTTTACACCACTACTTTTGGATTGCTGGAGAGTTTGAAAACGAAGAATTTGGAGCATGAAAAAAATATTCGGCTTGTTACATGCTTTGACAACGAAGAAGTACTGTAATTATTAGCTTTTTTTGTTACACTGATTCCCACAGACTCGCCATTATGTAAACTTTTTTAGGTAGGTAGCTCGTCGGCGCAAGGAGCAGAGTCTTCGCTTTGTGAATGGATTATGAGGAGAATATGTGCATCCGATTTGAAAAACAGCTTTGAAAAAGCGATAAGTAATTCATACCTACTTAGCGTGGATAATACTCATGCTGTTCATCCTAATTACGCTGATAAACATGAGGTTGTTTGACTTTACTGATGGCTTTCATTAGGATAGTAGCCCCGATCTGTTGGTGTAATTTTTTATAGTGGAGAAGTAGAATGCTTCCAAAGCTTGAATAACATCTCATAGCCATACGTGTTTGAGATAAAAGAAGCAATACTTTATACCTTGTTAAAGTAAACTGCGCAAATTTTGACGCACAACATCGTATTTCCTTGAAATTCTCGTAAATGTTTATAGCAGTTTTTTTAGCAAAATCACAAACCTACTCTTGGAGGTGGTGTTGTTGTGAAAACCAATTTTAATCAGCGATATGCTACAAATTCCCTTACCAGTGCATTAATAAAGTATATAGCAGTTATGGCTGGAGAAAGTCTCCAAGTGAGGAATAACTTTGAATCAGCATGTTTTTTTGCATTTTATTTTAAAATTATTTCTAAAACTGGTTGCAGAAAATAGTTGTACGAAATGACATGAAGTGCGGCTCTACAATTGGCCCAATATTGGCAAGTAAACTTGGTATACAAGCAGCGGATGTTGGTTGTCTTCAACTTGCTATGCATTCAATTCGTGAACTGGTACACGTCAACAGCGTTCAGCAGGCAATAAACCTGTTTTCGGTATACAACTTCAAATTTCACTACTAAAATTATCTTCCGATTTTTTTAAAAGTTGCAGATTTGCAAAACATGGACTTATGGCAAGTTTTTTAGACTTACTTTAATCACCTACCATCACTCATGGAAAATGGACTGTAATTGTGGCAGGCTACAGGTTTTCGGTTCAGTGCTTCTTTTGTCAGCTGAAAAAAAAAAATAACGAACTGTCCTGTCTTTATGACAGCTGGTGTTTTATTTGGCCTCTATTAGTCTGGTTAATAAAAATAGAATCATATGTAAACTTGCTTGCCGTAAAAAAAAGTGACAATTTGATATAGTCACCGTATGGAATACATCTGTTCTACGGTCTATTTTCCTTTAAAATCAAGAATTCTGTCTCAAGAAAGAAAGTGAAATTTAAAGAATGCAAGATGAAAATTTAGAAGAACAGAAGCATTTTCAATCATCCTATACACTGGAATATTTCCTATAAAAAAAAACTTGTTTTGCTGCTCATTTTTAATTTATCAGTGACTGACAAGTGTGAATAAGTAGTAGTTAAAAATAAACAGTCGTGTTTCAGTTTTCTACTTTTTTTTTTGAAAAAAAAGGGGGAGGGAGTTGTGGGGCTGAGTGATAGAGCATGTATAATCAGCAGGAATATTATAGATTTAGCAGTTGTGCCATTTAATTAATGCTATCTGATTGCCCAGTGCCGAAAAAGTGGCTTGAAAAATTTGCCGGTAAGTTTTGTAAGGAAAAAGTTAATTTTATTGACTGATGCGTTAGTGGTAGAATTGCAACTGAGAGAAAAGGCCCTGGTGTTCACACAGGTTGATTTGCTCCCTCCAGTCTCTGCTTTGCCACCGATTGTGACAAACGACATCTGACTACGGCTTTAATTCAGTGATAAGCTATGTAAAACACTAAAAGAAATTGGACAAAATTTGAATATCATGAAAAAAAACCAAGAAAGCCATTTTTTTTGTTTTATAGCATTCAAGCCTTTTTTAAATTTACGCTTTACACACTATCCCCAGACCAACATGGCATGCTTCGTCTAAACTCAAATTTGAACTAAACGGTACTATTTGATAACTTTTTCTGGAACATAATCGTTGAACGCTCTTAACGATTCAATGAAATTTTTGGGCTTCTGAGAGAACTGCTTGCAAAGTAAAATATAAAAAGTTGTAGAATAAAAGGGAAAAAGTGATTTGAATGTCAGACTAACAGTACTTACATTTGCAAAACTGAAGAAGTTTGGTGTCTAGGAAAATGATGTTTCCTAGTTTTTTGCTCACATAAAGCTGTTTTTCCTTTAAACTTAAACGCCCTTAACGATTCACTAAGCAAGTTTTGTCGGTTTAGAAAGTATGCTATTTTCTGGGACATATAACCTATTAGTAAGTCGCAAATTTTACGAAACTGAAAATGTTTGCTGAATACTAAACATAAAACAATTCTGGGTTGCTCTTCCCGTTTTACAGCAAGAAACCTACCATTTTTTACACAGTAATACTATGCGCGATTCTAGTCTTAGTCTCTTGAAAACAATAAAACAGTCAAATTTCTTACAGCAAATAAGATCAATCTTTTAGTGGATGTAGTTAATAATGACGTGAAGCTTTTTTTAAACTTTATCCGACGTTCAGACCTATGAAAGTAGTAATTTAAAATGGTGGATGAACAAAGACAAAAAAAAAAGTGGTGCCTCGTTTTTCCTTTCACATATTCTTATTTCTTCCTTAACACTAGAACTGCACTTTTACCAATCAAGTTTGCGTCACTTCAATAGCTTTCCCAGTGACCTGTAATTTCTCCGGTGTCTGTATCACTTCAAATAATCTACATTCACGGCCTTAAACAGTCCTTAATAACGAAATTTTTCACTACAGAGAAAACGATTCCAGCATTTACAAGCCTTTTTGAAAGTGAAGGTGCGAATAGATGTATATTTTTATGCCCATAACGTCGAAAAAAATTGCATCAATGTCTTAGATAAACATTAAAGCATTCATCACAAGAACGAACAACTGCTGGACAGAGGATAAATATTCAGGTAAGGATAAGAGCGTTTTGAGAATTTCAGAAGATTAACGTTTACCGTAACCCGGCGGAATGTCCATAAACCGACCAAAGCCGTGGAATATCAAAGAAAGATTAATCTGAGGAATAGGTACCATTTGTTCATCGAAAGGTAAAACAATGACAAGAAAAAAATTGCAGTAAGCTACAGGTTGTTCTACATAAACAAGAACCTACAATTAAAATAAAAGTAAAATGAGTGACGTTGTTAGTAACGTTGAGTAACAGTTTGAGTTTAGAGATAAAGTCTTTGTAAAGTAACTGTTTTGTGTTATCGCTTAAGTCGCTTATATACCATTCTTGGAAGACAGGTTTTATCCGTCTCAAGCCGTCTTACCGCCATCAGAAGTTTCTTTTAAGGGTTGAATAAGTGCTTTCTCCCTGTTTCTTTTTGCTACTTCTCGGGTTACGTTTCTGTGTTTTTGAGAATCAAAATTATTTCGGGTTTGGGACTTGAACCGCCGCTTCTCTGCGGGCAGCTGTCGAGACCTACCGCTTATTGTATTTAATTATTGAAAAGATGCTGAATAGCTGTGATTTTTTTCACCTATGTTTCTTTCATTTTTTTAATTTTTTCTCACTTCTTTTTCGCTTCTTTCAGCTCTGTTGTTTCCCTGCAGATTGTGCACATAGTTGGGTTTTTAGTTGTTTTTGTACAAAAAATTATTTTACTTGTTATCTCATTTTTCTCTGGCATCTAAAAATTTACTTCTTCTGCTTTTTTAACTTCCTCCTTTATTATGTATGATAGTGTTGTTTATATGCCAATTTTTGAATGAAATGAGAATCTCTCTCACACCCTGCATCCGCTCAACGTCATCAAAAAGTTGTTGCATCATGCGTGGTCAAAAGCTTCATACGTTTTGCAGTTTATTCAAAGCACTCCTTAAAACCGCTACAAGGACCGCAGTACTACGGTGCTGATACACTTTAATTACTGTTACTGAAAGTACCGCATTACATTGCAATTAAAAATGCGGTACAGTGTCATTTATGGCGAATACGATAAAGAGGCTACATTCTTAATATTTTTATAAATTCAGGGAAGTAACAAGTGGTTTTTTAAAGAGGGAAACCACAGCTAACAATGTTTACAGTGGCAGAGCTAGAACTGCGGCACACTTTTTTCCAGTGACCATCGCTAAACAGACGAAATTGGTCGTCATACAGAACCAAACACTTAACGCTGAGCATATACAGCGATAAACTTAGCGAGCTTGAAAAATGCATTGAGGAAGATGAAATTTTCTCTTTTAACTACATCATAAGATGATCGTTTTCTTGAAAAGTTTTACTAAATCAGAAACTTCGCTCTTAAACCGTGTTGTCATTTGACTTTTAGCTCATACTATTAATTATAACCTGCTTCAATCTCCTCAGCTTGTCGAGCTATATCTTATCGGTTATTGCAACCAGATGGGTAGAAATTTTGTTATCAGTCGTGTGCAAATAGTCTTTACTAGCTTCTACAAGAATGTTTCAGATGACGAAAAGAGGAAAACTGCATTACAAGGTCGCCTGGCACAGAACGAGAATTGGCAGCACTGAAAAGTGCAGTGTTGCTACTACGCCACGACATGTCAGGAATGCAAGCTTTTTAAAATATAAGTAATCAAGTACTGGTCATCGCTATCGTTGCTGTCCCCTACTGTCTGCTAATATACCATTCCTCTTTGCTACCGTACCCTTTCCCATTGCCACTGTTCCCAAATTCCTCACCAAAATCAGCTAACCAATGAGCGCACTGGAGTCATGACCCCGTAAAATTAAAAAAAAACCTACGCACGCACAGTTGAATGCGATTTTACAAGTTAAAGATTACTAAATGTCTGTCTCTAGCAAACTTTTGTTCCTCTATAGATAACACTTTCTCTGTATATCGCTTGTGTTTTTAAATGTAAGTATTTGTTGCAAGTACATTTTACAGTCCAAGTTGAATTAAAAAGAAGATCCAAACATCGACGTTGCTTTTTATTCTTGTTTAGTCGCTTTCAGTACTGTTGCAGACACGCTGTTACTGAAAAGTAAGGATTTACTTGAGCGGATATGGATCTTTTCACTTCCGGCTTACCGCAAGAAACCTCGCCAAAATGAGGCACATGTGCGCTGCAACAATTCCAACTCTCCGAAGGCGAAGCTTGATGGCAGAGTGACTACGGATCGGTTTTTCCCATTCTTTGAGAGCTGAATAGTCATTAAAGTTACTCAAGAACGAGCAAATGAAATAAGTTAGTCTGACTAACGATCAACGGTCAGCTTTTTGAGCTATGCTTTGCTTTTGCAAGGTACTCCTTATTTCTGATCTAAACCTGCTGTAATTCTGGAGGATTTTCCGTTCTTCCGCGATGTTCATTCTGGAGCTGCAATATTTTTATTGTTTTTTGGTATTCTAAATAACTGGAAGAGGTAATAATTACTTTTATCTCCTAAATAGTCATTATCTTATGCATGCTTTTGATGCTCGCTTGTTTTTCTCACAGTTGTGAGTCATTATTATATCATTTGCTAGAGCCAGCTCCACAACATGACCATCAATACCAACTCAATCAAAAAAAAAAAAAAAAAGAAAGAATATGTCCTGTCAGCTAAAATGAAAAACAAGAAAAGAGGCTTGTGGTGTAGTCAGCTGCTTTCTTGTTAGACTGAAGCTTCAAAGCACCATCGGCTGAATAATTGCAACATATTTTTAAACTAATTATGTACGTGAAGAATGGGTTTCTGGAAACTATCTTGTGCTCCAGATCTACAGAACACTTGCACTCTTACCCCGTAATTCTTTTTTTCTCTTTTTTTTTTTTCTTTTAGTCTTACAGTAAACTATTGTAAACGGGAAGTTCGACTGTAAAGCTTTAAGAAAGACAATATGTCATATTCTCAACGTCGAAAAAACACCAAGCAGGTTTTTCCTTTGGACGCTAAAAAAGCTTGTAAACTTTACATTTTACAAAAATGTTATTAAAAATTTGCATTTTTTTGTTTCTAACCTTTTTTTTTTAGTTAGCTGATGTCTTTCCATAAAAATCTTTTATTATACCAGTTCCAGCTTTAAAACGAGGTATTTTAAAAAACAAAAACTTCTATCATAGAAGAAGCTATTATTATATATATACATATGTATGTTTTTGTATAACGAAGGCTTTTTCTATAATGGAACTTTTTGTTTTCCAAAATACCTCGTTTTGAAAGCTGGAACTGGTATAATTTTCAGAAATTACGCTTTATTAAAGCTTCACTAAATTTACAGTCGCCACCCTAATCTATTAAAGGCTTTGAATTTCAGTTTAAAATTTTTCCTGTAAACCAGCAATATTCTTTGATGGAATTATTCAAAAAAGAGGTGAAGCAATTTTTTCTTGCAAAATCGTTTCATTTACTATTTGCTGCGAATTAAGGCATACAAATATAAATATAAATATAAATAAATTTGCATATATATAACATTGTGCCGTCTGAAAAGCTTTTTTTGAAACTACTTTATTTCATAGACTGATGACGATGAAATAAGAAAAATTTCAAAAAATATTTTTTACTTTGGGTTTTACTTCTGCAAAATTCGAATTCGTCACCGCGGTCCATTAAAAAGCTTTAAATTCTTTCCTATCAAGCGACAATACTCTCAGTGGGAATATTCACAAAGAACTATTAAAAAGTTTTTTTGTAAAATCGCTTTTTTTATTTTTTTACAGCGCAGAAAGACAAAAACATAAAAATAAAGAGAAGTAATAAAGAATCAAATATGAATATATAAATATATAAATGTATACATATATAAATAATATGCGACACTTGCGTTATTTAGAAAGCCGTGGTTTACAAAATTACTTTGTCGTATAAGTTAAAGGCGATGCGGTAAAAGTGTAAAAGTCGTGTTCTGCTTGTGTCTACTTCTTCGTGTTTTCTTCTTTAATTTTTATGTACTTTTTCAGTGAAGAACACATATGGCCTGTCTTAATCCTGACGAAAAACCTCCTTCTACTGAGGAGGTCGTCTCTGACTTCATTGATTTCTTGAATCATGCAGTTGATCCATATCATGGTACTATTCATTTATTACAATCATCTTATGTCGAAGAATATTAATTTTGGATAATTGCTTCTTCGTTTTTGATTTCCTGAAAAACTATGGCTTCTTTGTTTGGGTTTTGTATAAAGTGCTGTAAAACATTTAGTCTCTTCAGAAGTACCTAAATTTTTTAGTTTCTTGGCTTTTATAATTTTTTTTCTTATGTTTCTTGAAACATTTTTTGATGAAGATACATTGGTTTTTTCGATTCTGCTTTTATACATAAGTGGAACTTTCAAAAACTATTTCTTAAAAAGTAATAGCGATACTAGGCTGTTTCTCGCCTAGTCTGGTAATTGTGTCTGCAAAGTAAACAAGTTTTTTAAAATCACTTTCAGGTTTGAAATTGTACTGAGAATCTAATATATATTATTTCTTTTTCATGAACATGTCTTAAAGCACATTAAAGTTGAGCTCTATTTTGTTGTTTAAATCGCCAATATCTGGAGCTCGTACTGTGGTCATTTACGGAACTACCTTTTAGCTGTGGCTTTGTTGGAGGTTCGCTTAAACGCAAAGGGATTTCAGCAGCTACAAGAAGATAAAGAGTGGAATATTGTGCCTAACGGGAAGTACTACGTCACTAGGTAACTGATCACAGTCCGTGTCGCATTACTTGCTCATCATGTTCAATTCTGCTTATGGTTGTTCTTTGTTGCGCTTAGAAAACTTTTTTTTTTTTGCAGGAATAACAGTACTATATTTGCTTTTGCTGTTGGAGGAAAATACAAACCCGGAAATGGATTTACGATGACTGCAGCTCATA